GCCATACTGCACCTTGAGGGTGGCAGAGGATTTTCACCCTGGTCTCTTCCCTTAGGGCCCGTCCCTAGCTAGAAGGGTCCCACACCCCGGTCAGACCTCGGCTGTACGGACAATGCAGCCTCTCTGCTGGGAGCCCCTTGGCCGGGCGCACGGAGAGACTGAGATAAGGCCGGTCCAGGGGCTCCCTGCACGTCTGTGCACATCCCCCCATGGGGCTGGGCTTGTGCCGTGCTGGACGGCCTCCTGCCCCAGCCGGGGTCGCTCTGTGTGTAGCACGGCCTGGAATCAGCCCCGGCCGTGGGCCCGCTCCTGAGCTAGTTCGCTGTCTTCAGGCCATGCCTCGCTCGTTAAGATGAGGCTTCAGTGCACAGCCAAGCCCCGGAGAGCTCGTCTCTGTGGGCAGGTCAGCGATCCTGCCCAGTCGGCCTCTCCAGCGGGCGTCCACGGGAGCGACTGGGGGCGGGGATGGTTCTGTGGGGCGGGCACCTTCCCTAGGAGCTGGACTCCGTCCCCAGACCAGGTATCTCCATTAGTGGGGAAGCCGCTTGGCGCCTCGGACGCGGGCCTGCGTTGTCCTGCTCTGGTGGGGCACACGCAGGTGGGTGATTGGACCAGCATCCCCTGCCAATCGTCTTGGCTTGCCCTTAACATCCGGGAGGCTGCGGGGTGTCCGGATCCCAGGAGCTCCTAGCTCGGCCGTGCCGGCCCAGCGGCTGTGGGAGAGCGTCTCTGGCCCAGTTCCCGGCTGCCGTCTCAGTGTCGGCGTGTCTGTCTTCCAGCTCCTCGGAGGAAGCGGAGAGGAACCTGAGGAATGTGAGCGAGGAGGAGGCCCGCTCTCCGGGGATCCTGATTAAATGAGGTGTGCGGGGAGGCAGGGGTTTCTTGCCCTGTGGGTGAGGCAGAGCTTGGTGCAGTGGTCCCTGGTGCCACGCTGTCCCGCGCCCTGCCGCCCTAGGCCCTGGTGCCGCTGTGCTGGTGGTGCCTGTTCACCGGGCCGCTGGAGCCCAGCGCCTGGCTTGTTCTGCTCGCTGTGGCACCTGGCTGCCTTTGGGTGAGGCTGTGCGGACGCCCCTGGGAATCAGCCATGCTGGATCTGCCTTGGGGTGCGGGGCCCCGTTAGCTTGGCACATGGCGCTGCCCAGCGCGGGAACCCCCTGTAGGAAGCGCGGTCCCAGCGTCTGCGCTGCAGCGAGGGAAGCTCCTACCCAGACGACTGACACAGGAGCAGAGACCGTGTCGCCAGCCTGGTGCCCTGCGAGCGCGGTGGATGGCTCTGTTGTGTGCCCGGCTTGGCCTGCCAGCGGGAGAGCTGCCTGCCAATCTGTGCCAGGCGGTGGTGGCTGGGAGACTCCTTTCCCCCCAGGCAGAGCGAGGCTGCGCCGGATCCCAGCAGCTGAATGATGGAGCTGGGCTGCACTGGGCTCTGGATGGGCTGGAGGCCACCCTTAAAACCTGCAGGCCCCAAACTGCTGGAGGGAGCAGCAAGGCAGTGGCAAGGAACTGGAGGCTCCAGCCACCTCGGCTAAGGGAGAATCTGTCAGTATAGGGACTGTGACCACTAGCTGAGCACTCCTGATTCCATCCAGCAGAGGGCAGCATCCCCCCACTCACACCACAATACTTAGAGGTGTGGCCTGAGCACAGGGCTGGGCTGCAACTCCTGCTTCCCAGTCCACACTCAGACTCCTGTACCCTGGAGCCAATTGTTAAACTGCCCTGCCTCAGTTCCCCCCTCTAAAATGGGGATCATGGTTACTGTCCTCAGCGAGGGAGAGGTGAGGGGTCGGCTAACGTCCGTGTAAGGGCCGTGGGTTTGTTCCCCCCGCAGTCTTGTTAGTCGGGTGAGGGCTGACTTCTGGTGCAGCCTATGGAGGGTTGGGGGCAGGTTACCCCTCATCTGCCTGACGCTGCTGTCAGACAGGGCCCCGGGGCCAGAGGGCCGGTGGCTCTGCTCCACTGTGGTAGTCCTGTGCTCTAGATCACCCAGTCGCCGCTCCGAGCTGACATCCTGCTCTCTTCAGCACATGGGGAGCGCTATTCCGATGCAGAGGTCCTTGCCATGGGGCGGGGGGCCCCCAGCCTTCCCCAACTCCCCACCACGCAAGAGTGGGGAATGGCTCCTCTCGGGGGGAGCGCCTCCTACAGACAGGTACCTGCAGCTGCCCTGCATTCCGGGGCCCTGGCCAGCTGCCACTCCTGCACCACCCAGCCAGATCCCGTGTGGATCGGTGTGTGCTGGCTGATGTCGCCCTGGTGTGAGCTTCCCTGGCTGAAGCCCTCCTGCGTGTTTAAACCCTCCGGGCTGCTCCAGGCTAGTGGCTTGGAATCCGGATTCCTGGGTCCTGGCCCTGGCCGAGCTTCGCCCCTGTTTCCCCCGCTGTGAAATGGTTTGAAATGCTCCACTTAAGGCCTTAATGTCGTTCCGGAAGCTGCTGCAGTTGTCTTGCATCGTTCCCTCGTTTCATAAAGGCAGCTGGGCAGCATGTTCATTTAATGGCTGGCCCCCGGGGGACCTTCTAGGTTTAATAACTGGCAGCACGTGGTCCTGCAGGGAGGGGGATGGTGCGCCCTGGGGGGGTTCTGTGCACCTCTGCAAGGCGGGGCTCAGCTGGAGAGTCCCCAGGCCTGCACTAGTGCAGTACAAGACAGCACGGTCCTTTTTCTGTTCCTGTGCCCAGGGGAGGGTTGTCTGCAGTGGGGATTGAACCGTGAATCTTAAAGCCTGAGTTTAAAAATCCCCAGCTCTATCAGCCATGCCTAGAGGAGGCTCATCGCCTCCGTGGCCCAGCCACTATTAGAGAGGGGCAAAGTGCTAAGCTGGGGGGGTTACACGACTCTCTGCTGCTTGCTACCTAACCAAACTGAGAGCAGAGCTGCCGCCATGGGGCAAAAGAATCTCCATTAGCTGCCACAGTACGGGGCTTATGACCCAATTCTGATGGTAGCCAGCAGAGGGCAGCGTCCTGCATTAGCCGCTTCATGAGTAGAGCTGGGGAAACTTTGGGGTGTTTTAATTTGCCTTTCCCTTCACAAGGTTCGAAGTGGCCCTTTTTTGGATAACTTCCCCGACTTTCTGCCAGTTTAAAAAATAAATCAATAAAAGCTTTCCCCGTTCCCCTTCTAAATGAAGAACAAAGAGCAAGAGCTGGCAGACCACCGCTAAACAAAAACCCTGGAGAGGAGCCTGGGTTTCGCGCAATTATTTTGCGGTTTGACGCTGCCTGATTTTAAACTCTCTGCTCAAGGCTAGGCAGTTTTCCATCTTTCCACGCTGCCACCCCATAGTACAACACGCTCTCGGATCCCCCCGCCCCCAATCATAAACAGAGGGTGGGTGTGACTGCTTGAAAGCTGTGTATAACCCTGGGGGGGGGGCATCTCTTATCCCCTGCCCACCCCCCCAGCTGCACCTGGGCTAGTAATGTAATTGACAGGACTGCCTGTGCTCTCTGCAGGGACCGTGCCGACCTGTCTCCGCGCCTGGATTCCCTGGACACAAGACTTGACTGAGCCAGGCTGTCGGCTCCGCTTCTCCCCAGAGACCCTCCGCGTAACTTAGACTCGCCTCTTCTCTTTAACATCCGGCCGGGAAGCTGGAGCGTGACGCCGCCCCCCCCGCTCTGCCCCGGTTCGAAGGTTCTCTCTCTCCGCCGAGCCGAGCCGCCTTCCGCCAGCGGGCCTAGTGCACAGCAACACTACAGCTCTGCCCCCTTCAAAGCAAAATCCGGACCCGGGGCAGCGGGGTGGAATCACTGCTTCCGCCCGGCCTAGACCGGGAGGGACTGCATCCATCTCCCAGGACCCCATTGCCGGGCACAGCATCACACGGACGTCTGCGGGGAGGGTTTTATAGTTAGTCTCTGGTTTGGGTTTTTCTCCCCTCCCTCCCTCCCCCTCTGCTGAGCTCCCAGAAGGACTCTGATCTGGGCCAGGGGGCATAGGGACATTGCTTTGCCTGGGGGGGGATGTTTACATGTTTACTCCTCACTCGAGCAGCTCTTTGAACACTTCTACTTTCCACGGAACTGCCTGCCTGCCGCAGATGGTAAGTCCGGGAGGGCTGGCTGGACTCGCCTTAACACCCGTCTGCCACTAGGGAGCCCTCTCGCTCAGTACCGGATTGGTTTCTCAGTGGTGTTGACGGCATTGCCCCCCCGCCC